CAGACAGACAGACAGACAGACAGACAGACAGACAGACAGACAGACAGACAGACAGGGGGAGAGAGGGGGGAGAAAGAGAGACAGTGAGAGAGAAAAAGAGACAGGGGGAGAAAAAAGACAGACAGACAGACAGACAGACAGACCGACAGAGAGGGAGAAAGAGATGACAAAAGGACACTGGAGAACGAGTAGATTTGCTGAAAATTAAACCGATTATTCCTTTAATTACGGTGATATTATTTTATCAGATCTATAGAGACGAAGTAATGTATCTGCGTCTATCTGTTTATTAGAATGTATGTTAACTTAAAGGTCGAGGGAGGTGGGGTTGCCTAAAATATGCGATAGAAATCACAGGCCTTCTTCTTTGTTAAAGGCCTAGTAGCCTAGTGAACTAACTACAGACGGTACTACATTTTCTCATGACATGACAGCATCCCTGAGCATCGCCGTGGCAGCGATCACCGCGCGTAAGTGTTTTCGCTCCCCGCGCCAGGCGATACGCGAAATAAACTGTTGTTATGGAGCGCCGCCACGAGTGTCACCTCTCTATTACTGTAAACCCTCTCTGGTCGTACTGCTCAAAGAGGCTGCCAGAGAAAGCACACATTGCCATTTTGGCTTTTTAATGGTCAAATTGAAGAAATAGGTGAAATTTAGTGGTAAAATTTATGAAAATGTATTACATGTAGCTCAGTTTCGCGCAAATGCATCATCCCCACTACCACCACCACCACAACCACCCCCCCCAACCACCTACACCATCAGCATCACCACAATCACCACCACTATCAGTATCACAACCACCTCCTAATCCCCACCACAACCATCATTATCATCACGGTCATCAGAGTTATCTAAAACGTAGTGGAAGGGGTCTATTACACGTTCAGTTAAAGTTAAAGGTGAGAGTTTGAGTTATCCGTCTTCTTTTTGGTGAGAAAATGATATACATGTATTATGTATATGATGCAGTATCAACAAAAATAGACTACCTTTTTGAGAACTTCAAACACCAGCAAGGAATATTAGAGTCATCTGCAAGTGTAAGTCGACGCTGGTTCCGAGTTTGATATTATATATATTTTAACGTTAAGACATAGTTTTCAATAAGTTTACTAACGAAAATTTTTATCACCAGCGGTCTGCAGACGTGACAGACTGTCAGACAGATCGGCCGCAACAAAAACAGGCATTGTTTGATTTTTGTACGTCCAGCCCTGGGACTGTGGAGCAAGGACCTTAAATTGTATAACGACCTTGAGCGTAAGTCACAGAATTCTACAGAATTCTGTGGTGTAAGTGAGGTTTCACTGTTGGTCACTGTATAATGTGTTCGACCATTCACGCTTCAGCTTTCTTGTTGTTGCTGCTGCGTTGTTGTTGTTGTTGTTGTTGTTGTTGTTGTTGTTGTTGTTGTTGTTGTTGTTGTTGTTGTTGTTGTTGTTGTTTTGTGTTTTTGTTTTTC